ATTCCTACATTGGATGCTCAAACTGCAAATTAATTCAGAAAAAAAACATGTGAAATGTAGTGACTTACGGCTGACAAGCTCTTGATTTCTCAATTCTGGAATGAATATTTCATGAGCCAGGTACCGGTATGATCTTTAAAACTAACTGTCATATTAATGTGGGGCAGTATCCTCACTCCTGCATGTTTGATCTGGATATATAAGTAAAACTGGTCTTAGAGGATCTCACAAGTTTTCAGTGTAGACATTAAAGTGTATAAAAAGAAATAGAGAAATTAAAAATAAAATTGTGTAGCAAAATGTATTGAATTAAATGTTGAATGTTTAAACAAATTATGTAAAACTTTTTACACTTTAAACTAAATTTTAAAACCATATGGAGAAAAATTTATATTTATATCAACCTTTTGGCCACAGTTGTGTCCGAAACCGCCCTGCCTACATGTATTACTCACTGTAGCACCCAAAACATTAACACTCAATGGTTTTATTGATTTTTCAGTGAATAAACACAATGTAATACAACACAGGTGCTAATGGGTAATTGTGACACCTACACATTTTAAAAATTAGTTTCACTTTCTTAAACGTCGCCTTCCGTACCTTATCTGTGCCTCCTGTCTGAGTTGTCCTGATACTTGACTGCGCTTTTCCCTCTTTAAGATCACTTCAGATCCCTGATGATGTCAATTGAGTCTGTCACACATGAAATACTCAGCCTTCCACTTTATATGACCAGTATGCATTAATGCACACAGCACTCTAAGATGACTTGGAATTCCATGGTACCCATTAAATTCACACAATAAGTATCTCCAATATATAACCATTCCTCATTGAGAGTAGAAGTTCATTGTTGAGGCAACTTGTTGAAGAAACAAATTAGAATATCTCCAAAAGCATCTGCTGTACAGCATCATTGCACAAGGCTCTCTGACACAAGTCACTTCAGGAATTTTAAAAACAAGCAGATGAATATTCCAAGAGAAAGGGTGTAGTTTCCCACGCACTGCTCCTTGGTGATGTGCTACATGTATACTCACAAACTGTACTGTCTTCAAGCAACGATTCCAAGCTCACAAAGTTGATATAGAACATTTCCGTAGGAGATCGCAACTGTCGATTTGCCTCCACAGAAGAAACCAAAATGCCAGCACTCAAATGCTGCAAAACCTGTAGAATCTAGTGGGCTATACTGAATAACACCCTAAGCAAATGGTGTGCAGCAAAAGATACAAGTCTCAATCAATAATCAATACTCCAGCCAAAAACATGCGCATAGTCCAGTCCAATCCAGCCTCTAAACCCAGAGCAGGGCATGAAAGGAAGCCATTACAGTTGATATTGATTCCTGGCGGGATCCACAACGGACTTGAATTGATCTTTCTCTCCACAAAAGACTCAAATTTTGAAAACACTCACGTCATCACGCAACTAGCCACTGTCTCACCTTTAGTGCACCTGAATGTACAAATGTGGCGAGTTGCTTGGTTGTATTTTACAATAACATCTTCTTTCAACTTTGTTTAATGAACATTATATTTGTTTCTCAATCATACAAAATCTGTCAATTCTATAGCTTCGAACGATTGTCAAGCAGGTACATAGTACCCGTATGTAAATGCAGCACAATGAATGCACGTTGACATCCTCCTTCAATGCAATACAACTTCACTTTATAAAAAGGCGTTTCTTTCATCGACCAAATCTTATACATTAACACCAAATCAATAATAACTGGACGTCTATTACAACTACATGTACCGGTACATGTAATGCTCCATGATGCGACAAATAACATGTTATGTGGAAATTATAGATTTTGGGAATTGTAGATGCTCTGTAGCATTTTCTGAGGTGTTAATAATAATAATTAATAATTTGGGGGGCTAATCACCCTTACTCGCAGCTGAGAAGCTGAATTGCGAAGGACACGGCTACAATGTGGTCGAGCTGAAGGCATGTAAAGGTGCCTTATAAATTATATTAGGCTGCTGCCACATGACCCATGATGGTCTGACCACGGAGCACAGCCAGAGATTGAAAGTGTTGATTTTTGTGGGAGGAAAACTAGACAGCTCAGAGAAAAACCCTCGTCGCACAGGAGAGAATCAACGAACAACTCTACGGTACTCATGGTCCGAGCCGGGAATCGAACCCGGGCCACCCTGATGAGAGGCAAGACCTTTACGCACTAGCCACCCATGTTACCAAAATGATCGCTTTATGAGCGTATTTTCAAATTTAATATTCATTCTTGGCCACATCTCTGAACTTTGATAGCAATAGCCACATCCATGCTTGTTCAGGTTTTGCGGTCAACTTGCACGTTCTATGGATGGGGATGCACAGAAGTTGAAAGGTGCAAGTGTAATGACTGGGGACAGGCTAGGGATGCACGCTCTTCAATAATCTATTGCCTAAGAGGGATGTCATGTAAAATTCAAGACTGATCACTTGTTCTGGATGCGGTAAACAGTGGTGGCAGTGCAGCTTAACTACAGTACAGAAATAACAAGGTCATCCGAGTGACAGTCCAGGCCCGAAAATTCTGGAGCTTTACAAAATCGTGTGAAGTGTTCTGGCAAAATGAGATAATTTACTGGCGCAAAAAGATTGGGATGATATTTTCCCGTGATTTTCAGATTTATTGAAATTTCATCTTTGATATGTCTACAAGGAAATTGTATAAAATTCATCAAACAAAATTGTTTTTAATAAGGAGAAACAATTGACATCTTTAATTTTAACAAGTACAAAACAGTCGAAAAAATTTAAAGGCTTTTTCTCAGTATTTTACATTTCTGACAAATTGATTAATGCAAACTTCTAGCAGCCATAATGTATGATTAAAGCGCAACAAACGGTATAAAAAGGAGAATTTCATTCTCTCTCCATTAAGTAATATTCACACGACCTCATTTTGACCTCTGCCCAGTTCTGTCTCATTTTGCCAGAACGTCTAACATTGGCAAAACATCATCCCTCCAACGGCATACCTAGTGCCAAGTTGGGCTTACTTGTTATGTATCGGGTAGTAAGAGCAAGTTAACTTCTCATTAACATTGACGTATCTAATTGACATCAATGTATTCATTATTGAATGGTACCGATATCATTATGCATTAATGCTAAACAAAAAAGACGCTCCCAAAAAAAAAAAAAGACAGAACAGCGGATGTGATATTTAACCAGACTGGACTTTGCTCAAATGCATTACTGCACAACTGACTTGGGCTGTTACCGGAAAGAACGATGCGTAAATCATCTACTGTAGTCTGTTGATGTGCAGTGTAATAAAGCCTGCTAAATATCCACGACTACAGCACTGATGCCTGCAGTTCCCTTTCTGCATTAGTACACTTTTGCAAGTTCGTTCAATCCAGCAGGCATATGGACAAAAAAAAGACATCTGCTACAATTTTCAGCAATATTATAATAACCAGCTGTATATGTAGATCCGATGCCAAATAAATTCAAGTAAGGTAGCAGCACACTTTTTTATTTATTTACTCTGAACGTTTTGGAGCAAGCAGTGATTCTTGGTGGACATGAACTGTGCATAATGAGAATCCTTGCAAGATAAAAAAACGGTGGTCAGACTGTGGTCAGATGGTGGACGTGGTCAGACAATATTAATCCTCTTGACAATAACTTTCATTTGAGTGATCCTTCAGAAGCTGTTTGGATATTTCTTTTTGCTCATTTATTTGAGGATGGGTTTTCTTGGTCACTAGATGGCTTCTAATTTTGTTTTTCTTGACCTTTCAAAAGGTACATCCCAAGAAGTTAACAAAAGTTTATTGTACAGCCCACTTTAATTTAAAAACCTCTAATTCGTTTCAACCGAAATACCGTGCTTTCAAAAAAGGGGAAAAATTCAGCCAAAATGGGCAAGATGATTTATTCAGTTGTAATCAGTGAAACTGGCAATTCATCATGGAGGCATATGTTACGGCAGATCCATTACATTAAGGACGGCTGGCTAGTCCCCCATAAACGATTAGGCAGATTGGCTAATTAACATGATTTACTGAGGATGGTCCCGAGCACACATACACATCACTATCACTCTGAAAATCTTATGCGAAACTGATCTCAGTAACGAGCTATTTGTGCCATCTAAAATATCAAAAGGTTAATGTCGATGAAGCAATTAATATTTTCCAACCCATTAACTAATTTGAAATTTGAGTGCTCTAATGAGCACTTTTCATCAGCAGAACTTAGCATCTGTTGTGCAACTTAGGTGTTTTAAATAAAACATGTATGTATGAACCTGATTTCAGATTTTTGATGAAGATGGTAATGAGCTCAAACCGCTTCTTTTTATCTTGAGCAAAACCAATCGCTTTCCACATGATGCACTCTTTAAATATATCAAGAGGGAAAACAATCAGAAAGGATAAAACCTTGGGGAAAAACAATTCGTGAACTAAGTGCAGTTACTCACACTGACACAGTCAACATTAAAGAGAAAAGGGTAGAATAATCCCTATAGGCCACATGAATGGCTTTAACACACTATCAATTCAAGCTGGATATATATACAATATTGAATAGGGTGAACAAAGTTGATCCAACTCTCGGACTTGAGTTTTATTTGTTTCATTTTTTTGTGCCTGTCTGATTGTTTGGTTTAAATGTCACTGAAAGAAATTTAAATATAACCATTTCGAAATCCTTTCCCCACTTTTCTTCCAAACTGATAAAAAAAATAACGGAATGAATCCTTCGTGACAATACAGTGAAATATCCACATAAGGATTAAACATCTGTTGGAGCGAATGGGGAGATGTTCCAGATATTGTTTTTAGCTTGCATCACAACAAATGGACGACTTAATCCTTTTATGGTTAGTTTTGAATATCCAGTTCAATAATCCAATCAATAGAGGAATTCAAACCAAATTTTAAAAATCTGGATTTCAATCCCACCACTAGGCCTACCTTTTTTAAAACCCCAAAAACACTTTTTGTGTGAGAGAGTCAGGATCTTACCATCCTTGCGATAGTAGGTGATTTCCACCTGGTGCTCCTCACCCTGATCCAACGCTTCCTGTATCTCCTCTATGGCTTCTTGGCTGGTTCCCTGCCCGTGCAGGAACACACAGGAGCATGGTCGCTGCATGAGCTCGGCCCGTGAGTAGCCCGAGAGTTCGCAGAAGCCATCGTTGCAGAAGATGATGGCACAGCTCTCCACTAGGGCATTGGCGATGATGAAATTGCGATCTGTGGTTTGAGAAGTAACATCTTTACTTTACACAAATAAAACAAACAAACTAAAAGTTGTTGAACTTGTATTGTGGTAGAGGGCCTACAATAGGTTAAAGGCATAGACCATTTGCATTTAAACTACCAAATTATTATCAAAAAAGCTTACTTGGATTAAATTAAAGATGGTAATGGTACTAACAACTTGTGAGATTATTCTGTCTGGCCTGCTGTCATTTTGAAGAAAACAAGAAATGTACATTGTGTATTGTGATTTCCAATGATCAATTGACTGATTTCTAGAAATAAATAGACAAAAATTGTGTTTCATGCTCAAAAGGCTACTGTGCCTGGTTTTCCACTGTTTTCTCAAAAAGTGTAATTATCCACTGAAACTCTAACAGGTTATGCTGCCTTTCAGACCAAACAAATTAATAAAAAAAACTATGATTGCATGCCGATTTTTCGTACCTTCAAGCATTCAGTGTGCTTGAACTGATTTCTGAAATTGAGGGAATCAATTACTCTAAACAACACAAACAGTTATTCACCAAATAAAGAATGACGAAAACAGATCTTTAGCATAATTGAGTAACATTATCAAGTTCTTCTGTATGACATAACCATTCTAAATAATAATGCGACATTAACTTTAATTTAATTTATAAACAATAATTAAAAACAAGACAATCAAACAGATCTTACAAAAAAAATTACAGGCCTATAATGGATTACTGGTAGCACGTATCCATACATGTTCAAATAACCTTCACAAACAACCTGTGGATGCCTTGCCTTACTTTCTACTACTAAATGTGACAAATTTTCCATGACAAATCTCTATGTGCCTTTCACATGTGTCAGTAACAACACCGTGCCCAATTCCCCTCAATATTTATAGACAGGACAAAATTATGAGCTGAGCCACAGGCTGTTAAAGGTGCGACGGAACAGTTGCTTTTTCTGCATATTCGTTTGAAGCAAAATATTTCTGAAAATCTTTTGAAGGGTGCACTTTTGTATAACGTGGAACAGTTTCAGCTCAGCGTATACATGTGACAAAACAGAGAAAATAAATAATTTTTGGGGTATTGTAACTATATTCCGTTGCTAACCAACATTAAAAAAAATGTGGCCACAGACATATTTTCTAAAAACCACCTTCAATTATTGTTTTCTTCCTGATGACAGCATGTTAGGTGAGCAAAGATTTTCCCATTAAATCGGTAGGTAGGTTTCCGGGTAATTGCAAATGTCCCTACGTGCCTTTAATATCCTTTGTCCCGTATAACGAGCTGTGTGAGTCACGAGCTAATCAACTGACAATGCAAGGCCTAACAAGTCACACAGCCACACTGTGAAATTAAGTACAATAATTATATATTAATCATCAGGAGGCTGTATCATCTCATCATCATTTTATGATTATTATAATTTAGTAAAGCTTCAAATTTAGTTCATCTTGTAAGGCCGAGTAAAAAAATATGTAGGCCTATATTGTATCATTTGGCTTTTTTTCTTTTGATGAAGGAGGCGGGCATTTTAATTTTTATTCCCAAGATGGCTGATTTTTTAAAGATTTCTGATAGATTCTTCAATTTTCTCAACTATTTTGCTGATTGATAGAAAATACAAAATTGTGTCACAGGAGCCATAAGCCTTTCTACATAGCTACAATTTTGTTGGAAACAAATCAGACAACAATATATGGACATTGTGCACAATACCTATTGTAAATGTATGAATTAAAAAAAAAAAGGGAGGCAGCCGGGAAAAAAGGAAGCAGACACGGACAAGAAACTGGTTTATTTCTTTACTTGGCCTACTATTAAAGTATTATGTGCAAACTCATTCTTGGTGACAGTGGTCTTTACATAATTTAAATTAGCTCATAATTTAAATTTTTACTATTTTGAAAATTCGATAAGTGGTGTGTACGGAGAACGGGAAAAAAATGTACAGTTCAAGCCACCATATCAGATGAAAAAGGTTTAGGCCTAACTTTTATTCTTTTAAACAGCATAATTAACAAGTCTAGAAAAACAGATTGGTGAAAAATGGCTAGCAAATTATATCAGATGTTTACATCTTTTCACTGTCTGACATAGTCCCACCCCCACATGATGGCATTTTCCCCAGGGGAAAACAATTGGCTCTGCATGCAGTACATCATATTTACATATCTCTTGGTTTATGAAATGTCACTTTGCGGAATCAGCATATTTAGTAATCAAATAGTTTGGTTACTCAATGTCAACATTTCAGGGTTTTTCCACCAATATCTGTAGGATGCAGTATACTAGCCTCAAATCACATATTCAGTAAAGCGTGAACTCACTACAATTATGTTGAACAAAACAATAAATTTAGGAATGAAAAACCTTTCCTGATTATCTTATTTAGAAGCTATACCGTCCCATACTGCCTATTAGTCATTGTGTAGTCTGGTGCCAGAAACTACACCAGCACTTTATACTTTTATTGATTTTTCGGTGAATATATTAATGTAATAGTACAATGAAGTCAAGGTGCCAAAGGTTAATTAGAGTTGACACTTCATATGGGATTGATTCTTTTATTCACATTTATTTTCAATTCCCCCAATATTTTCCAAATCCACCCAACTTCCTCAGAAATATATAACTGGCTCAATACAGCATAGAACTAGCCACCTTTTACGTACTTCCTACTAGGAGACCAGACACTCCATACAACTTTTTGTGCATTATTTTACGTTTATTTCTATCTTGTCTGTACACATCATGTGTTTGCATTATTCATATCTCAAAAGGTGAAAGTCCCCCTCTTTCTCTAATCATGCTAATGTAATGTATGTAGGCCTAGCATATATATCTCTCCTTATTCCAAGAAATATGTGTGGTCAGTCCTTGAATTCTGGAACTCCCTGTTCCTGTTTATTTCACATTTATTTTTTTCCCACACATTCGGTATTTCTCCTCCTTCCGGTACCACAACCATGGAGGAAGGAACACCAATAACACGACACCATAATATGAAAGAATGATGCAACCTGAACTGACGGCGGTTGCGTACAAAGTCTATGGAGAGTATTTCCTCACAAAATTGGAAATGTTTCTGAGTCCCAGATTCATGTCTTATTGTCATTTTTGCAATGAATGACCTTCATTGAGATGATATAGGTCCCTATGACAACTGTATGAGGAAAAAAGTGGCGTCAGGTTGCAACATTATTTCCCCATAATAAACCCAACAAAATAAGTGGTACAGCATCCTGATCGCATCAAAATTAACGAGACAGAAAGATCAAAATGATCAGCCAATAATAATAGTGAAATCATGGAGGCGGTACAGCAGGATAGACAACAACGAGTAGGGCATAGGCCCTATCATGACCTCCGTAATATTCCATACTCACTCTGTCCGTCAAACTTGCGAATGATGGTGTCAATAAACGTGTTTTGGGGGGCCACATGGCCCCTACGGACGGGCATTTCCACAGGGCAAGGAGCTCAGGATACAGTACAAACATTATCTTCAGTTCACATGTTGATGAGAAATTTAATCACATAAATACGAATCCAGCGAAGACTGAGGACAGATACGGCCCCAAATAAATGATGATATCAAACTTGATCGCATATCCTGTACACTTTCCACACACAACAATAACCCTGTCACAAGTGTCAGATTGTCGAACGTGGCCGGCCAGCCTCCATCCTGTTGATTGTTGCTGTACCTAGCACTCGGTACATCGTGCATAATGCGCAGCGGATACAACGTAAACATCCCCTCTATAGAATCTCTGGGGTTTGTGTGTACTCGTACTCGCACTCGACTCGCGCACGTGGAACACGTGTTGGGGGAAGGGCGCCACCTTTTGACTGAACGCATCACAGGATGATTCTATCACAAATTTTGAAAATCATTCTTTATTGCCATCAATCATCACTGAATTGACCTCCCCATAATATATTTGTTGTTTTAACCCGAAATACACATATTTGTTTTCAATTTCTATTTGCCAATACAAATTACAATTTGTATACTTTAGGAAAAAACAAATTTTAACACAGGACCGGGGAGTCACTTCAAATTTGTTACTTTTTGAGAAAAAAAAATAGGCCGGTCGATTTTCAGGGTTTATTTTACGAAGTGCCAACGACTTGAACTTGTGGTCCATGCGAAATAATTTCAGCTTAGTCTTTTTAAAAATCCTTTCATAATTCTTAAATTCTTTAATAACCCAAGAAATCTTTGTAAATACGAAGTGCCAGCAGCAGCCGCCTAGCCAGCCGCAGCTGCACGGCAACTTTGAAAAGCATCTCTCAAAATCAAATAGGCCACTAAAAATATGAGGGCGCTATGTAAGATTAACGGTAAGCGAAACGCGGACAAGTTAAGTGCAGACTTGAAATTAAAAATGCGCATGCGTATGTTTGAGTGCCAATTTTGAAAACAAAATGAACCTCTTTTTTCAAATGATTTACAACACAATGAGTGAAATCATTTACAGTGTAGCAGATATTGTTGTTGCTGTCTTGTAACGTGACAAAATGTCGTCCAATTCGAGCATGTCTGTGGGCGTTTGCGTGAAGTCAAGCCCGCTATCAACCATCAATTGCAACACCGTGAACACGGCAGAGCGATCACCGACACGGCGGTCAACAATGAAACGAAGAAGTCAAAACGCGGAGATTCGGACCTCGTTTCCAGACAGTGTTAATGCTGTTGGAGAAGGGTACAATAACTTGCTTTAGCCTAGGTTTTACTTGCTTTAGGTTTACTTCAATTACTTCAGCGGTTATGTACAAAATCTATGGAGAGTCAAGAATTTTTTTTAAAGTAGGCCCTATTTTCTAACAGTAACAAAATTGGAAATGTCTTTTACTTCAGTCCCAGATTCATGTCTTATAATCATTTTTGCAATGAACATGATGAATGGAATGATATATGAAGAAAAATGCAGGACTCAAGTCCGTCTCGGATTTGTCCATGTCCATTTACTCATGACTCGGACTTGAACTAAATGACTCATCTTCAACACTGGGACATGGTCCTGTAATAACTAACATAGTGTTGCTTGTGGTTTGTGTCATATTTAGCAAAGAGAACATGGAGCCCTTTGTCGAAGAATCAGACAACGAAGAAGATGAAGAAGTGTTCTTTGGTGACATCACCGACATGGAGAGATTCAAGATGGCCAAACTACGCCGCAAGACCCAGGTCTTTGTGGCTAACTTCCGGGACGTGTCGTCATCGGGGAGCGGAACAGACAGCTTGGATGAGAGCAGCTCAATGCATCATTCAACGTCGTCTCAAGACTCCAGTGTTGTGATCTCTTCTTCCGCAGAACCTGAATCTCCAGCTAGCTGCAACTCTTCAGGTGAAACAGGTATTTCAAGTGTTGCTTTGGAATTAAAGGAATCATTTGCATTTATCCAAAAGTAACCTACGGAATTATTATCAAAAAAGTTACCTGGATTAAATATCGTACTGTTACTAAACATCCTGTGAAATTATTGCGTCTGGCTTGCTGTCATTACGAAGTGTTTTATTTTGGAATATGTAAAGACATAAAATATCTTAAATTCCTTCTTTTTTTTTCTCTGTGCAAGTAGCAGCCATGCACCAACATCCAAAACTGTCTCATCTAGAGAGAATGGCACCATCATCGACAGACAGTCCCTCTGTCTTGGCTCATCGGGCGGCTGCCAAGATTCAGACTTGGTTCCGCTTGACTCGGCAAGCTCAGGAGTATCAAGGGGTCATGAGAGAGGTGGAACGCCTGGAGGCAAAGACGGATGATTTCATCCAGAAAATACGCCGAGAGAAGGAGAGAATAAAACAGTGTAGCACCCCTGAGCAAGGTCAGACCAACAGACGTAGAAAATAGCACTTTAGAATTTAGCACCTATCATAGATTCGTTTTGCAAATATCATCTTATAAAATAATCAAATCGTTCCTTTACCATACTTGGCCTATAATGCTTCTCTTTTATTGAGCTCTGTTGTGTAAATCCCCAGTTTGAGCTATAAAAAAGCACTGATACTAAATAAGTGTTAAATAAGGTAAAATATTTAGCTATGAAATTGAATACATGATTAAATATATCCATAGACTATTTCAGCTTGGTTATGTCTATATTTGTGTTGTGTTCATTATGCATGTAGGTGGGAGGTTGGATACAGCGTCGAGTTCACCTATGGTCATTGTCCCAAGTCACAGACTTCATCTAGTCGAGACATCCCCACAGCAGGACAATGACGTCACTACACTGCAGCAATCACTCAATCCAGCTCAGCTCTCCACAGATAGTACCGCGAATGTCATCTTCAATGCTACTAATGACAGCGAATCTATCGATACTACAACGTCAGGAAGTGCCTCATTCTCCCCAGTCAAACTTGATGAGTCGATTTCTGCTCAGTCTGAGGTACCGAAAGCTGATTCAGAGTCAAATTGTTCAGCAGCAGAGCAGGAAAGTTACGATACCCCCGACCGGCATGTGCAGGGGACATACCAGAGCAAAACCAATGCATCGGTTGAAAGCAGCCTGTATTCTACCCCTAGCTTTGTACAATCAGGCTCTGCTAGTCAAGTAACATCAGTTTCCAGTGCAGGCACTCTTTACCATGCCGCATATTCTAAGGTAGCGTCAGATGTGAAGGCACATGCAGTAAGTGAAGAGCACTTTGTTGGTACACCCTTGGAGTTTAGAAAAACTGAGCACAATGCAACCAACAGTCCCTTCCTGCAAGTTGAGAAATCATCAGCATCATATCCCCAACGCACCCCTTTACGACAACTTCACACGTCGGGCACCCTGTCGTCATTTCCAAAGGTCACTTATGAACAGATTCAGAGCCCAACAGTCTTCTCCAGCCCCAGACTGTTTCCTGTGACCGTTCAGGCCGTGCAGCCACAGCAGTCAGTCTCCTCAGCCGCGCTGTTTTCTCCTCTGAAGATTTCCGATCACACTCCTGTTCAGGATTATCAACATTCAGAGACAATGATGAGTCAGAGTTTCAGTGCTAAAGTAACGGAATCCCAAAAACCCCAGAAAGAAATAGAGAAAGAAAATCACAATTTAGCATTTGACTTTGACACTCGTCAACCTACAGCTCGGAATGCAGACTCAGTGAGACAGGATTTAGACTATCAGGCTCGTCCTTGCCTCGACAGTTTCACTGCCTCGTCGACACCCTTAGCCGCCTTGCCAGTGTCACCAAATATAAGTGTCTTGAGGTCTGCCCAAAAGGTTGCAATAGTCACACCAAACTCTCCACTCCTTCCAAATACGTCTAGATCAGATTCCAAGTCTCATAGTACCAGATGCGAGATGGAATACAAAACCATGCCAATAGCTGATGAAGGTCCCAGGCAGCAGCTCAGCACAGCCCAGGAGAAGGGCCCATCCCGTCATTTCTTTCCATCTCCCTTGGTCATGACCAGAGACACTCCAGAAACCACAACACAATCGGTACCTGTGACCCACCCCACAGGCCGGCCGGACCCATCAAACGCCTCCAGATTAGAGGCAGCATACGGAGGGCGGCCTGGCATTACAACATCGCCATTTACGGGGGCCCGAAGCTGCGAGTCAGCGAGACGCAAGGTGGAACTGTTGGAGCAGAAGAGGGCAGAGTTGGCCAGACTGCGAGCTGAGAAAGCTGAACTCAAGCAGACACTCAAGACAGAAAATGAAATGGTGGGGAATGGTGTTCAAAATTTTAAATATCTGGATTTTAATCCCAACACTAGCCATTACCAACATCTGAGCCGATGTACCAGTAACCAGCTGTTTCTCGTCTTATTTGCAGTGTTTTGCCATGAAGCAAGAGGTGAAGGCTGCTCTACACAGCAACACATCACAGACCAACATCCCTGTGCATCTACTCAGCTTAGGATGCCAAGGAATCTCCTCACTAACACTGGTAAGACATTCCGACACAGACTGCAAACTCATAGACTGGTAACCCTTAAAGATTGGTGGTTGTTGTTTTTGTTTTTGTTCAATGGACGTAAAATGAGGTTTAACTGAAAATGTGAATTGTTCTGATTGGACTTGCAGACAGACCAGGAACTGGATATAGTGACTCGTTTGCATACCATCAGAAACAGTCACCATGACAACCTGCAGGGCGTGGCCGCATCACCCATGGTTACTCCAATACCACACAAAGGTTGGCTCATATCAATTCAAATGATCTTTATTTATATTTCAAGCGTCGTTTTCCTTCATCAAGTCTATTTACTCAAGCAGAATTGGGATGTGGGTCAACATTAATTGTCTTTACAATTTAATGACTGCGTTAACAGTAGATATTGTCATTCACATTTTCCCTAAAGTAACCTACCGAATAATTATCAAAAACTGACTTGGATTAAAGATGGTACTTGCACTAAACACCCTGATAAGTTATTCGGTCTAGCTTGCTGTCATTTAGAAGAAATCAAGAAATGTAGGTGATTTCCAATTTCATTCAGGATGTATATTCTATAATTATTTCATTTAGGATCGCTTCATCTGCAATGGCACTCTGATCTGGTAACCGAGGTCCACTGCCTGTCAAGCCCAGGGCATCCGGTCCGTGTCGCCAGACCGATTCTAGCAAACCAGGTTGGTATGAGATATCCTATGTACATGTGTGTAAGGCACTCAAAGAAGTACACATTATTACCGCTCATCGGGCCCATACAACATTCCAAAGACCACTAAGCTAGTAAAGTGTAGCTTGGTCAAACTTCTTTCAATCCTGCAAACTGCTCCAAAAACCTCCTGGTGCGTTTAAATGGTTTTAGGAACAAGACTTAATCTTCAGTCTTACATGTATCCACACAATTTGGAATTTTTATATCCAAAGTGATGTCGGCCAAATACTGATACCCATTTTTCCACATTGTGACTCTGTACCCGAGGCTGTATGTTATTTACAAACATTCTTTGTTTGTTTTGTGTCAGGATGTTTGTAAAGCAAGACGCGTACCTGCGGCCAGGACTGCCAGCCCTGCTCAACGGGTTCCAACCAGACAAGACAAGTCACGCTACCCTTCTGGTTACACTCGCACACCCAGGGAAAAACTAGCATTTTGAAGGAGACCCTCCACTCAAAATTCAGATTGTAATTGTGTCTCACGAGGAGCGTGAGTGAAGCACGAAATAATGTAGTGCGTCTGTGTCTCGTATGCCGCGAGGCTGAAAGCTGAATGGTATATGTTCCACTATAGCCAGTAGGATAACGAATATATCTTTGAGCAAACTTGACGCTTAATAGAGGTGGAACATGCACGCTACACACAAACTTTTGTTTTTTGGCAGTTATCCCATTACATGTGTGTGTAATAATAATAATATAAATAATACCGCGGAATCTTATATAGCGCACGTATCTACCAACAATTAGGTACTCAAGGCACTGCCATGGATTGACCAATAAGGATCAAGGCTCGAATGTATTTGTAAATGAATTTATATTGCCATGGTATATTATGATTGACAACTTCAGCTGTTTGTTAAATCATGGTGTCAATAATTTAGTGAATATGTACAACATAATTTGAACATAGTATGAAATCGTTTTTGTGATTGAAGTTAGAAGTAACAAATGAACTGTGCAAAGAAATTGTTCAAAGCCTCGTTATACTTGTTTGTAATGTTGAAGCTTCAAAATACACTGGATTAATAATTATAAGTTTTTTGAGTTGTCATCAACTGCTCCACAGGCATTCTGTTGCCTTAGGTCATACACAGTTTCCAATGTAAAACAGGGGCGTGAGTGACCACTGATAAAAATAGCTGAAAACAGGTGTAAAGAAGCTAAACTTTGGAAATCTCCTATACTTTTGTACACAGCAAGTGAGGGAAACAAGCTGAAATTTAAAACAGAAAAGCTGAAATCAGCTTTAAAGCCGAGATTTCATACCCCTGGTAAAAGTAACACGAGGTAGGACTTAACACAATGAAGGAGTGTAGTTCAGCTATCACCAGGTTATGCTTTTATTTCTCCAAATCTCATTATAATACAGGTACATTATATACAAACCAAGAACTGAAAGTATAAAGAAAGACTTGATAACCAATACACATTATAGTTAAGGCTTTAATAATTACTGTACATTAAACCTTAAGGAGACAATTCCCATAGGATTGTGCACAAAAATTGTCAACATTGTATGCCCCCTAATATAACCCCCCATTTTACCTGATCCTACCCCAACAAATTTTGGTACACTTATGTTTTGGACCACAAGCAATCGATCAATCCTATTTGCGACAATAACATTTTGCTTCTAAAATCTAAATAGGACTTGAAATCCTAATGTCAAATATCCCTGAGGTATAACTAAGGATGATATCGTGTCTCCCTACAGGTGCAATTAGTAGAATATAATTTTACATATATAGAGACAGTTTGAAATAAAATCGCTTTACATGTAATAAGAAACAATCTTCATAATCCAGCACACTCATCTGTGTACAATGCTGCAAAAAAAAAATTGTTTAAGTGGCATTAAAGGATTAAATTGTGGATATATACAGAGGGGCGGTGTGCAAAACGAAGTAATCAAATCGGGTTGTAGAAAATATGGGTTCATAACATCCTGATTACTATTATGAACGTGTATAAACCCTCATTGTCAACACGCTCACAGCATGCCTTCCAACATGTTCATGTGCCTGTGCCAGTATGTACATACAAAACAAATCTGTTAATACAAAGCATATACTGTACGTGAAAACTGTACATAAACTTTGTGTACACCAAAACTGCACATGGCAAAGTAAGTGTTCAACGCTTTCCAGCCAAAAATATACAAACTGGGAAGAAATAGAATGCTGTTTATATGCTTTATACACTGGTGGGAACAATAAACACAAGGAAGAAAACAATTTTGAAGTATAACGTCCACATTTAAAAAGAAAGTTACAAAATTAGTTGCAACAGAACAAAAACAGTAAAATAAGTATGTCCATCATTTTCAAAGCTATAATTGCTATATTTTGTAACTTGTTCTTTAAATCCAATGACCAATACACAATAAACAGTAAATATGAAATTTTATGTATTTAAACTAGGAAAAAGACAGCAATAAACTGCCAGAGTGTATTTCTATACAAATGAATGTATGTTTATGAGTGCAATGGTCAGAATAATTTCATGAGGGGACTAATGGAATGTCTTCACCTCATGGTATGGAACATTCCATCCGTCACCAATCCAAGTTATTCTTTCCATTGCAAAAAAAGTGAAACATTCATTATTTGCTATAAATAACTCCTGAATAAAACCTCTCATCTGATTGGTCAGAGCCACCAACCTGCGACCGTGCAATGGAAGCTCTTTTTACTGTGGAATAAACTTCTCTTTTTGCAGTGTGGCAGGGCTGTTCGTTGGGATGAATAAAGTCAATGACATGTGATCAACGACCTACATGTACCAATCAGATGAAAGGGATTTATTCACACATTGAATAAATGTTTACATTTTTATTTCCTGAAGGCACTCTGACTGAAATACCATTCAATACAGGTAGAAAGATTAGTTTACTCCTTGCTGGAGTGAAAGTGGCATTCAGCTTTTCCTGGGGTTAGACAATCTCTATCGTTTTTCACTTCGCCCTTTTGCTATTAAAAAAATTTAAAATAATAAAATAATAAATAATAAAATATAGCCTGGCAAAGTCACTGGGAAGTTACCTACAATCTGGTAACATTTTATGTCAGGAAGCCAAGAGGAATAACTATCTAGCAAACATGAAGCCCTATGAAATTGGTCTCATAAATTTCTCAAAAACCAACCGTTCCATCAAAAGTTTTGGAGTTATGAATGGTTTGATCTTTGGTTGTACTGGACGGACTTTTAAACACGCTGGTTTATTAAGATGTCAAAATTTAGGTGATAAAATACCTAAAGTGGGAAGATCAAGTAAGAAAAAAATAGCAAGTGTATATTAAAGAACATTAATCCACATGCAACGTCAAATATCACAGAATTGTTGGTTAATTTTTGCCAATCAGCACAGAAGACTCATGTTTGCTAGATATATTGAATTGATAAATGGTGATGTATCACATGTCGAGTTAATAGTAAACTTAACAATTCCTTCCGCATCCTCTGCCATACATTTGTATACAGACTAGTAACAAACAGTCAGATCACATTAACGTTTTCACTAGTCACATTCCATCAATAGACAAAACAGGTAACTGGTACATATACTTACAGATGACATATGAATCACCTCAGTCAACGTATGGCAATATCAAATTAACAAGTGAATTCTTAACTGTTAAAAACAATCACTTGATTAATTTTGACTGCTGTGATGGCGTAGCTGAAGTTGCCTGCCAGAGAGGGAGGGTTTAAATATAAGGCCAGACCCACTATTGATATTATGCATCACTGCTGCCTAAAATAAATCTTGGCAATGACGGTTGGCCTTGTGTTCATAGCCTATACTCTAAACGCCGAGTATTTTTTTCTTTTCTCTGTGAAGTGGGGGCTACTGGATGGTGGGCCAATTTCATAGCAAAAAAATGCTCTCATCAAATTGTCTTGCAAAGCAAAAAAGTGATTTCCTACGTGAAATCGGCCAGGAAGGTTCAGAGGCACAACAACGGAAGCACATCGAACATCATAAGGTTTATTTTGTCGGAAGTAAACTTCAATTTGCTTGCTGGTTCTCTAAGGCCATATGAAGACACACAAATACAAGTTTGCATGGCCTAAACACACACATTAAGCATCATCAAATGTAAAAAAACAAACACACACAAAAATTCCAAAATAATTTTTACTGAAAATATACTTGAAACAGATGTTATGTCTTGCTGTACATAAACTTATAACATCTATTTTTTTCTGGAAAGACATAATGAAGAAAATAAATGATTGCAAATTTTGTCAGGGTTAACAAAGGGAGTAAAGCCAACGTTTTTACGAATCGCATTTTGACGTTCTCAAAATCAGTTATCCAGCCTTGAAAATACTGCAGTTACAAAAATTACCAAGTATTAATTACAACAATTAACAAAATTCTATGGATATACAATATTGAAAATAAACTGTATTATTGATTTATATACACATCAGCTAAAGACATTTTGTGAAAGAAACAATTAGGCGAATATACATGTCCATAATTTATCTTGGATGAAACTGTCATAAATGTAGATAGTGTCATCATGTTAAAGTCTTGTGATATGGTGCCTAGAATATAATTTTTTTTGCTGAACAAAAATAACAAGGGATTGATACAAATTTGTTACTGAATTAAAATAAAGATGCTTTACATAATAAAAGTGTCTTCATATATATAAGATGCCCTCTGATATTAACACAACAGCGTAAACATTATTTAGAAATACACACCTGCAAAGAAATAATGCGCTCCATGTATTTGTCTTTTCACTTGCCAAAATATCCAAATCATTGACAACTTTATCAGTATATTTACAAATACAAAAAAAAATACTCCCACAAGAAAGGTGTAACGTATTATTTGAGATGCAATTTCTTCTTCTGCAGAAAAAAATAAAACATTCTATTACAAAGGTTAATAAATTGTCTCGATTATGCTGACTATTTACAGTTAGAATTATGAAAATGGATCAACTCGATGCCCGTCCACTGAAGGAAATTGAAGTGGATACTTCACCCCTCACAGTGATTTGCATAATAAATATATAAATGCCTCAGTCTTCATTGGCTTTCTTGCCATGGTTACTTTACTTGCTGTACAACTGATTTTTAATATTTAGGTATTTTGAGCTGGTGAAGAACTTTTGTGCGAGATTGATGTACATGTACCAAACGCTTGTACATGTACGTCTCAACAGTGTATTGCTGGCACCGTTACTTCACTGCTTCTTGAGACTCATGATGTGCTCATATACATTGCATAACTCCTATAATAGTTTCACCAATCTGGTCCAATCTACCTTTCAATCAAAGGTTCATGCAAACTATTACCATGCTTGAGCGCTGATGACATTGCTCTTATATTCAAGGCGCATGTGTATTTTGTACTCCACACATTGAAGGTTTGCAGATTGCGCGAGGAATAATTCAACATGCGATATGAAGCCAAGTGTAGGAGTTTTGTTGGAAACAGGCCCGATAATGGCTAACTTGTTAAGTCTCAAGAGTTTAGTGGTGATACAAATGGCTTACTTCCACAGCTGTAGATGTTCATTGAGGATGAACTCAATGCATTGGTTCTGATAGACCATCGTCAAGGCCACATTGAAGCTCTCCTGCCTGGGCCACATCAGGGTAGGTCCAAACACGATGGCCAGGTTCTGAGGTAACATTCGGTTCTTGTCCTTGTGATCTACGACCCTGTCAAGATTGATAATAATCAAGTCATTAAAGTGTAGCTTTCCTGGTCAAAGAGAATGGTTATAATGCATTATAATGCGGCCGTCAAGATTTTTTTTTATTTCCAGCGATCAGTCTAAGAATTACAGTTCAAAAGTATGCCACATCCAAATTTACAATGATTAAAAATCACTTAAAGGGAAAATACAACATTTGCAAACATCAAAAAATAAAACTACCAAATCATTTTGAAATACCTTGCTGGACTGTTAGTGAATGACAGTGTAAAGCATCCTGTAAAATCATGGCACCTGGTATACTGTCATTTTCAAGAAAAGTGGTATTTTTGTATCAATTTCCAACGCTGATCGGCCGATCAGCGTTGGAAACAACTGGCTTTTTTTCAAATACTGGCCCCAATTGACCATCACACTTGTTTGCAATCGATTACAAACCTATGAACGGGTACGAGCCAGCTAGACTGGTTCCCTGACCTTACAATTCCCCAATGTATGTTAAAGGCTCTGTTTCTTCTTATATGGAGTCAGGGAACCAGACTACAGGAAAATGATCGTTTTTCTTGGTTTTTATAGCATTTTCAAACACAAAACCTCAAAAAAGTCAGTGTAACTATATTTGCTATATATTTCCAACCCCCCAATTCCATCCATTTATGAAAATTACAGCAAAAGCAAATGATGTATATTCCCTTTAAAAAAAAGTAATTTACTTAACCTTATATTTTCCTGACCTTTATCAAAAAGAATACCCAAAGTTCAATGATTCGACCAAAGAAAATTATATTAATAATGTGTGTCGCGTAATTAGCACCAAAGCTAGATCACAAAGCGCTTCACAGATATTAACCCTGTTCAACACAATCGACACAATCAGGTCTCTACCCTCACAGGTACCCATTTATTCTCCTGGGTGGAGAGAGGCAATTGTAGTAAAGTGTCTTGCCCAAAGACACAAGCACTGTGTTCCACGTCCGGGTTCGAACCCATTTACCATGGCACATGGGTCGAACACCGTACCCACTGGATTAGGACACTCTAAATATTGCCGACTATGGATGGCCCTCGGGTTTGGGGTCGTTAGGACGAGTACCTACCTATTAAGATGTCTGAAGAGGACCTTCATGGTCTCCTGATTGACACGAGGGAGGGTGGACAGTACATCTTGGAAGGCTCTTAGCCGGGACTTCCTATCTGGCTTCCCTGAAATCATCACAAACAATGAAGAGAAGTCAGTCAGAGAATCCTCAGAATCTTTGCTGCCCTTTATTATCCTATGTTATCTTCCTTTGCCATTGTAAATATTAAACTTGCCTTTTCCATGCCATATTTTCGAATTTCGAAATTTTCTTTTCCAAATTCCTATTTAAAACTAGCAATACAAAAATTATTTAATGAGACATTAAACAAAAACAAAAAATGATGACATGAGACATTCAACAAAACAAAACAAAAAAAAACCGGGAGCCAGTCTGCTCGCAAAGTGGATCCAAGGTTGCAGACATCAAATCAAGGTGGGGTTTGGGGGTTAGAATAAACGATACAAGTTAAAGATTTATTAATAGAAAAAAAAAATTGACTTAGTTGAAAAGCACAGGGAACGCAACAGAACCCTACGATTTTGTACAATTTCTGAATTTGTTCTTATAAAAGCCACACAATGGAGAAGAACTAGATAACTAGGGGCATTCCTATGATTTGTGCTTGCCAAGCTGATGTACTGACTGACAAACAGACTTACTCATAGCTTCCATGAAGCCACCATAGCCATCAAATGTTACCAATGGTTCCGGGAGTTCACGGAAGTACAGCTTGAGGGCTCCGGCGATCACATGGATGTCCTCCTTCCAGGGAGAAGAATTGAAATCTACTGGCTTCTCTGCATGGGGGAAAGAAAAATCATTATAAACACCAATAACATGTGTACATTCATATGCGCTGTGGTCAAATGGTTGCGGTTTTCAACCTTGTACTATGGTACATTGGTTCGAACCCGACAGGCAAACTGTTCCTTGTGTCCTTGTGCAGGACACTTTGCTACATTTGCCTCTCTCCCCAATGGGTACCTGTGTAGGTAGAGACCAAATTGTGCTGATCTCGGCCACAGGAAAGTGGGCTCATGGCCTGATGAACAGGGGCAATAATTGTGAAGTGTTTTGAGACCTAGCTTTGCTGGAAAGCGCTATAGTATTAACCCCACATATTATTCGCTTCATTACCATTTTTATGGATTTATTTTTAAAAAATGCAGTAGTGCTTTTTAGTTTCCTATGTCGTACCTTGATCAACAAGAAAGCGTAGTTTCTGGATGAGGGACAAGTTGCCGCTGACTCGATAGATGCCGTCCACATGCAAACCAGACTTCTCAATCAGCGTGATACAATCAGTGACAAAGCGTGGTACTACAGTTCCCTGCTGCTGGCATAGAGTTTGGATATGTCTGCCAAATACATCCTCCTCTGTCATACACAGTCAATAGAAGAGTGTTAGTGTCAATAACAGTTAGTTAGTAACAAGTACGCTTGGCTGATTCCAATATTTCTTAGAATATTTAGTAAATGAAGTACAATACTTTAAATTGCTGCAGTGCGAAGATTTGCTACTAAATGTACTTGTATTTTTCTTCAATATCGTTATGTGAGGCACACTGGTTTATTTTGCCAACAGAAATATCATGATTTTGGATGGGCACTTTGGAAAAAGGACGATCAGTAACAATGGGCAACATTTTGCCAAACCCCCCCCCCCAAAAAAAAAACAAGAAAAAGAAAAAATGGAACAAATGTATAATAATCAACAAAAATCACTTTGCAGTTTGCAAAAGCATTTGCAGGACAGACACTTTCAAAATCCCGGATTAAACGATGCAAGAAACTGCAGAGGTAAGGAATACCTTTCATAATGCCTTGTTTCTGCAAGCTTTCTATGGTCGGTCTCTTGGTGATAAAACTCTTGAGTTTGTTCTTGATCTTCTTCTTGTCTTGTTTGGACTTGCTGCTGATTTCGATCAGATTCTCTGGCCCTAGGACACAAACACAATGGGATCACAAATGCGTCAACTTGGTATAAGGCTCTGTCGTGACCTGACCTACATCCGGGTACTGGAAATTCAGCATGGCCATTGTAGTAGGCAAGGATCGTATAGTGCCGCACTCAGTAGGTAGTAGGCAAGCCTTCAAAGCTGTGATGGATGGCCAAAAAACGGTGAGAAAAATCCAACACCAGTGCTGGGTTGGCACCATTTTGATAAGCGTACACGGCACAGGTAGTGACCATTATGCCATTTGATAAAGACCTTGCAGTTATTTTACATGAAATAAGTCCTGTCTACTTTACGATGCACGATGTGGTTGCTAACCAAACACTTGCCTACTGCAATGGTGGCCAATCATTAAGAAACTGGATGGTCATGAGGTCTTTTGACGCCATACGATCGGAACTATATAGGCATCCATAAGTGCTTTTTGGTATTAATTCTTTACAAATATGAAGATTATACACCTAGCAGACATTTTTGACGTACTTGGTCTAGGGGACGTAGGGCGTGCGGCTGGATTTGGGGAGGTCGGTCGCAGGCTTGGTCCGTCATTGGTCGGGCTAAAGGCATTGTCAGCGCTGTTCTGTCTCCGGAGGGGGCGATGTGATGCGGCAGGCTGCATGATGATAAAGGAACAAATGCTGAATTTGCTTGGGCATACATGTAGGTGAAATGAAAACAATTATGAACTGGCCAGTGGCAGTAAATTACAATTTATTTTCATTTTTGATATTATGTATGGTTTTTTATTTTGTTCTAACTGGAAAAAATCATTGGACATTCAGTTCACTGCTTAATGCTTGACCTATGCTTGGTTACCGGAGCGATACACTTCTTGTTGTTTCATCAAACAATACCAATTCAAATCTGATCTTGTTGATTCCCTTGATTGTTATCTGAAGATTTGTTCCTGGTTTAAATAGTGTACTTATTAATTTAATCCTGTTTATTGTGATAATTTATCTTCCTTATATTACACTGGCATGTTTGTACAAGTCTTACAGAACAAAATGTACAATGTCTCGCATCCGTGTTTGTTCAGATGTCCTAACATGTACAATATCAATGTGTGACTTTTAAATATACATTGTATATGTGTACACTAAGTATGCCATTACATTTTGTATGCTCGGGACATTGTACAGAAAAATATTGACCAAAACTTTTACAAGGAAAATGAGATTAAATAATTCTGTTGGTCAGAATAGACCATACCATAGATGTGTCAGAGTGACTTACCATAGACCACACCATAGATGTGCCAGAGTGACTTCCATGGACCATACCATAAATGAGTCAAGGTGACTTACCATAGAGCGTACTGCACCATTGATAGCTGTATACCATAGATGTGTCTCATCTTCTGTATCAGCCATCAGCCAGTATTCTTTATCCAATGGCGTCTTAAACTGTAGTTTGTTAAGATTTACAAAACAGTGAATGGTGAATTTAATCCACTATGGCCAAGACAATTTTCAAATCAAAAATAAGTTTTTCGAATTTAAAAAAAATGAAGAAAAAAAAGTCTGTCCATTTTTTGGTCTATTGTCAAATGATCATAATGATACATCGGAGTGACAAAGGGGAAGACAAAAAAAAGGCTCTTATGGGTTTTGTCTTCAAGAACACTACAATTATTTTAATTTACATCTCCTCACTGAAAAACTTCAACAACAAATTTAAATATGCGTTTAAGTTAAAAGAAGGATTCAAAAGAAAAAGATAAATGATAAAAATGTAATCAATTATTTGGAGTACGAGTTGCATTAAAAACCTAAACAGTGTCACAGCCCACGGTCTGTATGGGTCCAAAATACGGACAATATAAAAACAACACAATCCTTGACGAATCCTACATCACATATACGACAACACGTTTGAATGTTTGAATAATAGCAGCCTACCTCAATGTAGCTTTTCTTGATATATTTGGACTGCTTCTCACTGTGGAGCACTACGTGTGATCCCCATAGTTCCAACATCATGACTGGCGTACCAGATTTCTTAAATGACAAGATAAATACACAAGAAGAGACTTCTCAACACATTCCACAGCGCACAGGCAAATCAAGGAATTTACAAACGATAGATTGAACTTGGAAAAAAAATACTGAACGACGATATAAACACAGTGGGCAAAACTTGGTTGGTAGAATGCCAGCATGGTGTTCTGGTAGTTACACGTTTAAATCTGAGGGAATTATGTGCTTGGCCGATTGTATGTGTCAAACCGACTTGCAAGGGTCATTATCTGCATCCTTTTCAGTCAAAACAAGTCGAAAATTCACACATTTTCAAAATTTTTGTTTGACAATTTCACTTCATGTTTTCTGAAACACCCAACTCGCAATGTTTATGCGCCTTGCGCATGGAGCACTAAATATCTCCTTATATGGAGATTGGCGCGCATGCAGCACGTACTGCACGATGTGGCGCAGATTGCAGTGTTCTGTCAGCGGTTTCAAACCACCCAAGTGATGGGCTCTCGACCAATAGGAATGGGTAAACTAACTGTCATATATTCATGAATTATATACTATACCATGTTTGAGTTCAGTATTCTTGGTGAACATGAAGTACATTCCAATATCAATGTTTGGTATGGTACATGTGTACATTACACCAGCCACATACATGTACATGTATATCCAATAGCTGTCAGTGCAGTTATGTACAATATCGGATCTAGCATTACCACTTTGTGGTCCTTGAAGAACGCCAGTGAGGAGCCAGTCATGACAGTGTAGACAGTCTGCCATTTGACTTTACGCGTTGCCTCGCCGGGCCTGGCCCGCTGAAGATATCCCTCCTTCTCACTACTGGCTGTCTCAGGGTGAATATCACCCGACTCTATCTCTGAATGACGACGGTGAACATTCTTTGGAAGAAAAACAAAACCAAAAAAAGAAACGGATCATTTTCAATCGCATGTGCCTTGAGTATACACTCACAGCTGAACAAAATGAAAGTTGTTTTGACAAGCATTCATGACATTTGCTGCAGGTATAGGCGCAAGCTTGAATACTTTTACTATTAGTTAACTAGTGCATGCATGCAGCTGGGGTTTTTTTTTGGGGGGGGGGGTGGGAAAGGGAGGGGGGGGTTTGCAGCAAATTAGTTTACAAAACAAAACATATAAAGCAGATGAGTCCTTAGCAAGAACTTGTACATCCTAGAATTGTGTGTTAGTTGCCTTGGCCATCTGTACCCTGGCACATCATGCATCAGTTGCTATGGTTACTGTTACAAACAAGGTTAAAATTCATGTAACTAACTACAATCACCAAAACGACAGTCAAGACTACATATTTGTCTTTGTTACAACACCAAACCTGACAACTTACACCACTTTTTTTAATCAAGAGATACCATATACACGAAAGTGCCAAATATATCTAGTTGTCAATGAGGTACAAAAATGAAGTAATTCTGGTACTCAAATCAGACTCAAATGTCTTCATAATGATATCACATTTTTGCTCATGAAACTGGCAAAACGAAAATTGAAAATAAGGTTAAATGGGATACAAAGGTGCATTTTCAAGGACTGCATTAAAAAAAATTGCACGGCCCTTTAAACCATACCAAGACAATCCTACACAAACGTACAACCACGTCACCATACATATATACATGCATTCTGACGACCGCATTGCAAGTCCATGAAACTGCCTTGATTATAAAACAGGATGGAAACTAACAACCAAGAAATGCTGTCCAAGTTTCAGTGAAGTTCAGATGACTATTTAAACAACAAAAAAACGTCAGTCTCCTGGTGTTGAGCAACATATGGGTACTTTCATTTTGACAACTGATATATCTTGAAAGTTGAGTTGATACCAAAAAAAACACAAAGAGTATTGTAACTTATATCAGGAATATGAACACTAAGTACAACATTTTAGCTTTTCAAGTTGAAACCAAACAGAAACAAAGAAAATTTGGGGGAAAAAACAAAAGCTGTATAACCGGGAACTTCAAAATGTCCCAGGAAAAAACAACTTTGAAATTTCAACTTTGTGTAATTTACTTGTACTCATTAAAAACGAAAGTATTTCACCACCAGATCTGCCAAACATGTAATTTGTGAAATTGTTACATGCAACTTATAAACAATAATTGCAATGCATGTAGTTTAGAGTGGCAGGATGCTAGATCAAAGCACTCAGTTACTTTCATCCAATCTGTGTACGCGACTCATATCTGCAAAAAACATAGTCTATTCAATCAAGCCACAAGTATTCCCTCTATAGCATTTGAAAGGGTGAAAATTTCATCCAATTTAGGTCATTTTCTGAGAGCTCTTGAGTTGATGGTTTAGCAGAAATGCATTTTTTTGGGGGGGGGTGCTTTTCTTAACAGTTGGTTATGTGCTGTTTTTCAAAGCTTGTTTTTCTTATCGCAACGTTTTTTTTTGGTTAGGTTGATGAAAATGAACTCAAGAATCATGTAAAAAAGTGCAATAAAATATGGTGGATAGATTGAAGGCCGCATTCCAAATGAACCTTTATTTTGTTCCCTTTGCAATTGCAGAGCTGAACACATCATGTACGTGTAGTTACATCACACCTGGTTTTATTTCCCCTTCAAAACAGGAAATAGAAGCAAGACACAACAAAGCTCCCATCCACAAAACATGCAACTTTGTGGCTGATACGACAAGAATGATTTGAACCCAGTACCTGACCCCAAATGCTACACAATGCACAATTCAATCCAGTACATGGATCTTCTATTCTCACATGTGTCTAAAAATACTGTACATTTGCTATGCTTGACTGCACACAGTGTAAGCCTGTTTATAGTATACCACACATACCCCACAACCAGTCAATGACACTACATGGCTACATTTTCATGCAATGAATCACGCTCCTGCCACCAGTGATCTATGAGATACCAACAAATGCTGAACATGCAATGACTCATGAGTGTGCAATATGATCACCAGGCCTGCTTATGTACATGTCATCCTACTATCTATGTCACAACATTAAAGTTGCATTCCACTTGATCTTCAACAAAGTCTACTTTTTTTGTCTATTAGTATTAATAAATTTTCAACTTGTATGTTTTGTTCCAACCCAAAAACCTTTTTTCCCAGTGGACGTCGGCAACCCTCTGAAGAAAACAAAGGTTTTTATTCCGGGTACAAATAGATCCGCTTTGCGAGCAGACTGGCTCCCAATCCGTACATTACCCATACTGATTGTGGGGCGGAAACCAGTGATGGCACAGGTACCGGTAATTTTGAGAAAAACAGCATCTGCAGAAAGACCATCCACCATCTAAGATCCGTCACTGGCAAAATTAAATGCCGTCATCCTCCTTTTTTAAAACAGTTCAGGTGAGAAACTAGTTCTTTATTTATTTGGCCTAGTGTAGTAATTTGTATGTTACATTTGGGATAAATATGATTCTTTAAACCTTTAAACGTGTTAAAAGGATGAAGAGATGACTGTGGATATAGTGTGAATGAATCTGAGAGACGTGGTGATGAGTGAAGTACATGACCATGGTGTGATGGACAAAACAACCAGACAGACAGAGACAATGATGCCAACACAAACACACAGGCCAGCCCCACGATACGTGAATAAGCCATAGAGGGAGGGAGTCAACAAACCATCAAAAAGCGACTTTCTGAGGGCAGGAAAACGGACATGGTTTTGGAGCCGCGTTCGCTGAGGCCCCGCCTAGGTCTCCTTTGAACCTCCACGTCGGCAGCACTTTCCTCCGACTTCCTACGACGGATTGAAGGAGACTCCTACAGAAATGTGGGCAGTACTAATTAGGTTATTAAAAACAAAACGGTAGACCAGAGAACAGACAAACATGCAAATGGAGAGGGAAAAATAACAGAAATGTCAGAAAATTAGCATTTATACTAAATACAGGGGTGAGATTGGAGGGAAATAATAAATCCATGAAGTAATTGGCGGAGGATTTGAGGCTACCGAGGGCCTAGAGTAGGGTCTACGGTTTATGTTTGTATTGGCCTAAAGGCACCCCTTACAATACCCATTGTTTCTGCTTTTATGTATACCGGTAGGTAAAACACCTAACTTGCCTGACGATAAAACTGTAGGAATTACAGGTTTCATAAGGTTTTTTATCCCGAAATCAGGTAAATCCTGACAAAAAAAATCCTCAAATCAGGAAATGGAGAGCCAGGTTGTTGTAGCGGTTCTTTCCCTCGTCTTCCACCGCTATGACCCGGGTTTGAATCCCGCCTGGGTCAACATGTGGATTGGGTTTTCAGTCCCTGCCTGATTCTGTAGGTTTTCCCCAGAATACTCTTCTGGGCTTTTCCTCCCGCCTCGAAAACTTTAATTTCTTCTTACTGTCTTCTCTCTACAGGTTTCTTCAGGCTTGCGAGCTACAGTGCCTGGGGTGCTTTCGAGGAATCTTTGTTTCATTACCAGAATTATATAATAATAAACAATAATAATAACAATTCTGATAAATCTCACCCCTGTATTGGTTTAATATATTGATTAAGCAGTTTTATTATAAACTAAGACAATTAAAAAAAAAACTAAAACAAAACAAATAATAAGAGTTTGCAGTAGCTGAACTAAATCTGGCAAGCATGCTGAATAGCCAAGTCCAAATGTGGACTGTGGGTGTCACTGACCATCAGAAAGTTTATGTCTGCAGCTCGGCTTAACTTTGCATCACAACCTGTGAACTAAATCAAATTAGTGGAAAACTGACAAAACAATCACACGCGGCCTGAGACGGTGGTGTTCTAGAAGATAGAATTCTACAGCTTCATGAACAGAACAGGACCAGGCTACACATCAACTATTCATATCACATTCTAGGCTGAACAGCATCCTACAATGGCATACTGGTAATCATATCCGGTGATCTTTAGTGTGAGGACTGTCTTCATTCCAAATTACTAAGAGAGCGTGATTTTTTTTTTTTTTTTCGTTTACGAACCACAAATCCCACAACATTCAAACGTACTGTAATTTTCTCCAACTGCAATTAGAAAACTTGTTTAAATACCACATGTATAGTGAAAGGTATACATGTAGAACAAATGCCAAATACTTTTCGGGGGAAACCTAGGTAGCTGGGATGGGGAGATATTGCAGACGTCTTTTAACCAGACGAACTACAAAGCTGAAGCTTCTTATAAATTCAGTTGATATCAATTTCTCAATGCTTCAGCTCTGTTTCCTGTAAGTCATGTAACAAAAAGGAGAGGTCATCTTCTTCAGAATATTTCCAACTTATAAAAGCAAAGATATCTGTTAATAAGCGAGTCCATATAATCGTCCACCAATGTAAGCACAGCGCCAACACAAAATGTCTGCAGCTGCAATCATGAGAATTCGGCCAAAAATACATCATCAACGTGCACATGCTTGCCTGAACATTCCACATGCATACGGTTACATGTTTGGGATATAAGACAGGGCGAAACATATGCCCACATTCTTACCCTTTGGCAAAACAACTGTTCATGCACATATTTGTGTGTACATGATCACGTACAGGCCCATCACTAAGGGGGGCCCGGACGGGCTGCCCCCCCCCCCCCTCCCAACCCTGCAATTAATTGTCCCCCCCCCCCCCCCGGCAAAAAACCATAAGCATCAAAAATATATGTATTTCTTGTGGTGTGCCCCCCTAGCTGGTACTGCCCCCCCCCCCCCCCCCATAATGCCAGGAGATGGAAACTGAGCTGCATGTATGTACATAGAGCAACATCACAGGATGAAACAAATGTAATTCACATCTTCAGTGCATACCCAGAGAATTAAATCGAAACGCTTGAAAGTTTTTTAAAAATCAGTTAATTGTGGTGTAACCCAACCAATCAAGTCCATCCTTTGGAATCATAGTAACCTTCTGCTTGCCAGCGCAGACGTCTTACCACTCGACCACCGAGCTTGCCAAGGTCGGCTAATCGGTTCAAGTCTAATGGACATGTAGCTGCACTGAGAATACAGTGTTTATAAAATACATTGGCAAAGGGCAAAAAAATCAGTATAAAATTTACATCTCCCCGATGCAAAAGTTCATCTTATAATAACAAAATATTTATAAAGAAACATCTTGTACAGTCGACTCTCGTTAGTACAAACTCTGTTAATACAAAATTCTGGTTATAACAAACATAAAGCCTTGGTCCCGACTGTGCATTTATGTGCACAATGAATGGGACTGATGTTCCTCTTAATACAAAATTCTGATATAACAAACAAATTGGCTAGTTCCGAGTTTGAGTTTGCTATAACGAGAGTCGACTGTATTTGTTTTCGTATGCATTTTGATGCTATTGGGTAAATCTGAATTGTAAGTCTTCATGTTCAATCTTCAAGACTAGTGATGACTTACAGTAGGTAGACTCCAGCCTGTCTCTTCACGGTCTCCGCTGTAGTAATACGTCTCACCCTGCTCATTCTGGGACTTATACCACTGCAATGTATACAATGTATACAAAGTATACATAAAATGATTACAAGACATGCTCCAGTAGAGGGTCAGTATATTACAAACCTGCCACCCATGTAACTGCATTTTGTTCTGGAGATGAGTCATTTTATCAATTTCGGGTCCAAAGTTTGACATTTTTCCTGTCCCTGTTGCCTCCGAACTTTGTAATGTGCCATTGGTATTAATAAGAACGACTTCAATTTTTTTTTTTAATTTGTTGGATATGTGCAGGTAGTTGTAAAATTTTGGAGGATTGAGGATGGTTCCTAACAAAAAGGCCTAGGGGGTTAGGGTTAGAGTGCATCAGAATTATAAAATCATAGATGACAGATGTACATGTAACAGGGACAGGAAAAAAACGGACCTCAAATTTAAATGTAAACTCTCTCACATACATACATGTACTATATGTATACATCAAACCCATTGCACAGCACAAACACAAAGAAGTTCATACAATGGACATTTTCAGTTTCATTGTCAAGGAATACAGTGATAAATTGTCTCAAACACTGTTGCACACGTACTGTGTATAGTATTTACTAATAGTATAGTACCGGTAGTGATGCACTATTAAAAGAGAAATCATTTTTTCCTTTCAAACTAAGAAGATAGTCACGTCAGCCCAAATTACAGGACAAGTTTCCCCAACATTTTCCCGTTTCCCCAAATTTTGGTACAGCGTATAAATTTACACATTTCAACACATGTACCGGTATGCACATGGACTTTATGTTTGAATGCGTATTTACATTATACATGTAGATGTGCATTTTATTGAACGGTAATTAATAATAATACTGAAATAGAGTCAAGGAAGGGACATGATTGTACAAATGTACGGTTTTTTTTCCTCCAGTACAACATTAGAATAACACTTGTGCCCCAAATTCTGGTTCATTTACTCTCAAAAGGAAATGCTACACTATGTTTAGTCTTACCAGTTTGTCTTTGTGCAAATACAGCATGTTTCATACTGTCCATTCCGTTGCACTGATACCGAAACTGATTTTAACTTGTGAACTATCAAGGACACTTTACATACCGGTATTTTACTGGGAGTACCATTGTACATGTAGCAATTGATCCCCCACCCCACCCCCCCCCCCCCCCAAGTCAACAAACACTAAGAAAATAAAACTTCTGAGAAAAAGGAATACAAACACAGAAATGTATTGTATATTTCCTCGACATGTAGCGCACAGGGAAGAGGATGTACTAATTGAAACTACATGTGTATACAATTCAACACTAAAAATAAATTTACCAAATTTGGCTTTAAAGGGAATATACATCATTTGCTTTTACTGTAATTTTCAGAAATGGATGGAATTGGGGGGTTGGAAATATATAGCAAATATAGTTACACTGACTTTTTTGAGGTTTTGGGTTCGAAAATGCTATAAAAACCAAGAAAAACAATCATTTTCCTGTAGTCTGGTTCCCTGACTCCATATAAGGAGAAACAGAGCGGTTTACATACATTTGGGAATTGTAAGGTCGGGGAACCAGTCTAGCTGGCTCGTACCCGTTCATAGGTTTGTAATCGATTGCAAACAAGTGCGATGGTCAATTGGGGCCAGTATTTGAAAAAAAGCCAGTTTTTTCCAACGCTGATCGGCCGATCAGCGTTGGAAATTGATACAAAAATTCCACTTTTTTGAAAATGACAGTATACCAGGTGCCATGATTTTACAGGATGCTTTACACTGTCATTCACTAACAGTCCAGCAAGGTATTTCAAAATGATTTGGTAGTTTTATTTTTTGATGTTTGCAAATGTTGTATTTTCCCTTTAAGAGGCAAACGACACAGGTTTTCCATATTTCCTGGAATGTCTGTGATATAATGTCCCCGAATTTACATGTACAACCTGTTTAACATACATGTTTATTACATGTTATGTCCCCAAATTTACATGTGCGTACATGTGCACTGATGTGCACAATTTTTAATTTTTTTTGCAACACTCTTTTCAATCTAAATGTTCACTTGAAAATAAGATTATTACACCAATGTAGATAACTCCCAAACCTGTGTCTTTTGTACCTACTTTAACCCTAACCCCCTAAGAGTTCATTTGGAGAACAGTACCACATACTACAAAGTACTACAAAAATTATGTATGCAGGTACCCAAATACTAGAAAGTACTATGAGTGCTGTGCTCACTTATATGCTAAAGTACTGCATACTACAGTTTACTACTAGTAGTATTTTGTAGCGTTAGGTGCGGTTAGGGTTAAAACATGACATAGGTGACTTTCTATTGCGCACAAATTGTTATGGATTTATCTCCCGTATGTCTGTTTATGTCGTGGATGTGACAAGATTAATTGCATATGACAAGGCAAAAGGTTGGCCTAGTGTCAATTACTGTATGGAATTTTCATGACCACATAATCAGTGCATCTAAAAATGCTACGTAAAATTGAGTGAGAGCTCAATGAGCAATTCCATCTACATTTCATGTAACCTTTTCACTACAAGGCAAAAGTGACTTGGTCTGAGCTTCAAAAAGTTTTAGCAAAGAAGTTGATGGGCCACACTTGAGAAAAAACGCACACCCACACACAAAAAAACATTGATTTTCACTGCAGTTCTAATGACTGTACACAGGTATAGTACACAGTGTCGTTGATAAGCACGAGGTGCTTTTTATTTTTACATTGGCCTACACAGGAACACATTGTAAATCAAAATTTATCCTTGACAGATTTGGCAGTAATATTACCTTTTCTTTGAATTGATCATTGATGAAGACGTCCCCACCATTCGGTGTCTTTTCTTCCCTCCAGCCTGGGGGAAGGGGCTGTAATGTAGGCTCACTCTGAACAGACAAATTAAAAGCAAACATATCAATAATTATTGTCGGGGGGGGGGGGGGGCTAACTTACTTGCAGCAGAACCTGAAGTGAATTGCAAGGGACGCAGCTACATGTACAACATGGTGGAGCCGGAGGCATGTACAGGTGCCTTAGACAGCTGAGCACAGACATAACAGACCAAAAACCAGAGAACCTGGAGAAAAAATCCCGGTGAAAAATCCTTGTAGCACAGAAGAGGACCGATTTACCCAAGATATTGGCATGAATTTATAGCGAAATCAAACTACATGTACAATAATGTCGTTCTTCTACGAAATAACATTCTTACCAGCATGATACCGTTAAGTCCAAAATCTGATCAGCTTGATAATCCCTTACTCAGTGATAAATGTCACGGTATGCTGACACTCCGCAAGGAAACAACGTGATAATGAATGTGAATTCTTCACACGGCAACTTAAGTAGTACCACTATCCCAGCAATGCCAGCGGCACTTCTCGGGATAGTATATCCTTGTATTTTTGCACTTGAAAGTGTAAGCAAGAGTAAGAATATGGAGTAACATCAATCAATTTTGAGTCACCAACGTCATGCGTAATGGCACACTGTGCCAAAAAAATAGTGGGGAAAGTCCAAACAAACTACCAAGTGATTTATGGAAACTTACTGCGTGTCATAATATTAGAGTTAGCACTAAACTTGGCATGTTGGTAAGAATCTCAAATATGTGTAGCTGGGGAAAAAACACAGTTGCGATACTGATGCATGTTCATGTAGCCTATGTGGAATTAAGATAAAGCTGGAACATGTTGAATTTTCTTTTGTGTGTGTGCAGAGTATCAATATATTATGTAAGCAGTACCAGTATGTAATTCTTAATAACATAACTACATACATACAACGTGTAAAAAAAAAATTTAAAAAAATAAAATTAAAAAAAATATTAATAAAAAAAAAAAAAAATCAATTTTTCTTTGTACCGAGTATCCAGTTCATTAGTAAAAAAAAGCGCACCACTGACTACTAGCGCCCATTGGATAAACACTCAAGTTACGTTAGCCTCCGGCTCCAATGGTTCCAATGCTACTTAATTTCCAGTGGGCGTGGTTTAAAATGAACTGACGTCACACTAATCGGATGGGCCAGCCTTTAAAAGGATGCTAATTTCCAATCCAAATGTTCACCATATTTAGGAAAAGCTGCACTTAAACTCCAACACAGGATGTTTATCAGAAATAATATACTTTTTCAGGAAACAGAGAAAACCTCACTTTCCGTGAAACAATTTATTAAAAACTGTCTGTGCTTTTTTTGGATCCCCCTCCCTCCGAAAAAAACCAACAACACAATTTACTTTGAATTGATATTTATCTCGTTTTTTTAATGAGACATTGAACAAAAAAATATCAGCCCACGTTCGCTTACTTTTTTTTTTTAAATTGAGTTATTTTCGGCCCAACAATAATTTAGTTTTAATAAATAAATTTGCGTTTCCTGTGCTCTAAAACACATTTATTTTTTTTCTAATGAACAAATTTTCAACATGTTTTATTCCAACCAAAAAAAACTCTTTGTTTGGATACAATTACATTACCCTCTTAAAAAAAAATTGTTTTGGGCTCAAAAAGATCAATTTTGCAAGCAGACTGGCTCCGTACATTATCGATACTGATTGTCGGGTGGACCCAGCCTACCCTAAAAGAACAACAGCTGATGATTAGGAATTGTTAAGTAATATTTCAATAACTAAACACTGGCCATTTTTGGGGGGTTGATTTCTCAATCAAAAGCGAATAACTTTTGTAATAGGCCTATTGCTAGAAAATAACAATTTAGAAAAGGAAGCTATTTTTCTGGATGAACAGATGAAACTTGAAAATACCGTAACACGGGAAACAGAACTTTCAAAGTTTTTTTGAAGTTCTGACTGAGAAACGTGTATGAATACATACATATCATGTACACTATGTATGTATAATTACTTGCAGGGGATGTTGCCAAAAAGAAAAATTAATAATGAAACAATTTGTTTTGAACAAATTAATTAAACTTTTGCATTTTTTGCACATATTCAACTCTGTCCACTGTAAAATCTAATTGAAGTTTGAACAAAGTCATTCCATGGCACAGTTCAATGACATCACCACAAAGTGGTAACAAAAGAAGTTATTCAAATGAGGGTTGGGCTGAAGAGGGTTTTTGCAAGCAGTGAATGCAGTCCACATGCATGCATTTATTGTGTGCTTAAAGGCTGAACAATCTGATGGTTTAACAGGTCAACAGATTCAGTGTGGCAACTAATAACAAACACCTTTCTATGGTGGTACAGGTACATGTAGTTTGAGGTGGGATTGTAGTTGTAATGAAAGTTCCACATGTACATGTATTCATGTGGAATTGCACAAGTGAAAGCATATACCGTACATGTAGTTGGTACATGTACTCTATACAGAAATAAAGGAATAATACATGTACTGTGGTAGAATAGTACAATTAAAGGTCTGGTTTAGAAGCGGTTGAATATTCCAAACTATATGAGGAAAAATAAATTGCCAAAATTCTGATGAATGGGGTGATTTTTTTCTATTTTCAGATTTGTAACATTGGATGTCCACTACACATATTTCAATTTACGATAGTAGGCCTATAAAAATCATGAAATAAAAGTATGTTAAAAGGAAAAACATTTGGCATCTTTATTTTCAAGACTTCAAAACTCAAAACTTTGAAGACCTTTTTCTCAGTATCTTCCTTTTTTGACCTGTCGATAAATGCCCACACAAAATTGCCACAACTTGTCAACGGAATGTCCTATTGTATGGAAACGGTACTGAAAGGAGAATTGTATTCTCTTTCCGACTACCTGCAAACCGTCATTTCGACCTTTGCCCAGTTCTGTCTCATTTCGTCAGAATGCCTCAAAAATTATACTAGATATACATACAATGTAGGCATATACACGTACACATGTATGTAAGCTTGAACATGTTGAAAGAGTGTGCATAAGTTGAGGCTGATGGTTTTCCTGCTTGATATGGAATAATGGAATACAGCCTTTGAAGCAATTTCCAAAGTGCACTATGCTCAACTTTTGGTAGCTTTCTAAAGTCAAATTCCTTTAACACAATTGTCGGACAAAAGCCCCCTCAGGCAGTTTCGGCTGAAAGCCAGGAATCCTGGTGCCACTTCAGTGGTTGGGTACAAAGTCTGTTATGGGGAGTTGTGAAGATGTTCTTTGTATTTTCTATCAAAACTGGTCATGAATATAGTAAAATGTAATTTTTTTTGTATTTTAGTTGTGTGCATTTACTGGTATTACAGGAACCCGGTTCTCTATTGAAGTAAAACAAGGATACCCTACTACCCAGGTACTTGTAACAGAAACCAAACCCCAGTGTTCGAGTCCCAGAAGCTGTCTGTAGGGCTTTTGCTTTACGTTGTAAGCTGCAACTTTGGGAGCGTCATCTGTCATGCTTCACAATGCACATACATGTAGACGTCAAATCTGTTTTGGTTTTCCATGTACATGTAGCTTGGTTTTCATTTTGAAAATTCCCCACAATTGACATTCAAAACCTTTCTTTTCATTGTCCGAGAAGTTACTAAGTAATCCTTTAAGTTGGTCACTGGTACCCGATGCCATAATCTGGAACCGGTTCCCGACATCAGCAGTCGGGTACCTGGTTCCGATGCTCACTTCTAATGTATTTGTAAAAATAACCATCATTGAGTTTTATATTTGATGAAAAAAGGGCATGCTTTCAGGATAAGATTCTAATCCATATTTTCTGCCTACATGTATCAGGCTACAATAGTCACTCGAAATGGATGTTTTAAAAAAAAACTACCGTTGAAGTTACAGGTTTTCAAAATGAATAAAAGTACTCACTTTCTTGTGCGGCTTAGGACTGATGTTAGGGGATCGTTTCTTCGCCGTCAATGTTGGAGGAGGATCCCACGAAGTCTCGTTAGTGCTGGGATTGTAATAATACTTCCTGCCTCTCTCGTCTCTATGTGTCTCCCACTCCTCACCACTGCTGGGTACCGGCTGAGCGCTGACCGCCAGCTGCGGCAAGTTGGAATTGGAGAAGTGTGATCGCAGTTCCGCTGCGTTGGGTGGCGGCGGGAAGTATTCAGGGGAATTTACGCTGGACTGCTGTGAAGGCAAGCAAAGACAGAAATCAATTTTAAGTTGCTAACCCCATGCCCTCCAACACATTTTTCTATGAACACTAACCCTCAAGGGTTCATTAGATACGTACTATTGAGCATGGTTAAGATTGGTCCCCAGTTTGGGATCAAAACCATGTTTCCACCAAATGTTAGAACCCCAGTTCAGTAAACATGGTAAATAGGCTTACCGCTTGCTCACGTTGCTCTGCCATGATTACAGCTGCTTCTACTGGTAATATCAATGTATGAGGAAGTTATAACAACCTCCAAAAAACATGTTGGAAAATTCTTTAGTAAATGTATTTTTAAACACATCTGTTAACTACATGTACATTGGCAGGACAAGATAAACAAACATTTCAGGAAATGTAATCGGCCAGAAAAAAAAACAACGTCCCAAGGGGGCTGTCTATTCAATTTGGTATTAATTAGTGGTGGGAGAAATCAGAGATTTCAAAATCCGGTTATCCTATTTTTTTTTCAAACCGAATTACGGTTATCTGATTTCATCAGTATAGTTTCCATTCAGCTCTCAGTCATGCCAAAAAGTGACAGGCATGGGCGTCGCCCGGATTTTTTCTAGAGGGGGGCAAAACATATTTTTCCCAAAAAATTCTTGTATTTCTCAACAATATTAATCCAGCCACTAGTATTCATATAAAAATTGCTGACTTTTTGCTAATTCTGCCATGCCAAGTCACATATTCTGACATTAAACACAAGGTGTGATGTACATTTGTACATGTCTGTTACATAATTAACAAATAGCATGTTTGCCTTACCTCTGAATGCGATGACGGCTCACTGTCTGTCATCGGTGACATAGCGCCCCCTACTGGCGTAACCACCTTAGCGAAACCCTGTCTTCCATTGCTATCCCTGACACTCAGCTGAGTTGGACGTTGCTTAGAGGCAGGCTCCTGTGCAACGTTCTCATAGTCCGGCTTGGGTATGATAACTTGATTCCGTAAACGGCCCGACATCTTGCTAACCATGTTGTTATGCCGGACCTGTGAAGCAGCCGTGTTAGTAGCGGGCACCGATGGTAATCGTTCTGACGAGCCCTCCACGTGAGCATGGGGAATCAGGCTGCCACGCTTCGTAGTCAGGTTCCCTTGTCCCAACACCGCATTGTCAGGTTGGATCTCCAGATACGTGGCGGGGAGATAGACTGGTTTCTTGTCTCCGTCGCGCTTGACGTACCACCAGTCTGAGTTTGACTTGCGCAGTAGCATAAAGAGGTCACCAGGGAACATTTTGGCCGGCTCCCCGCTACCTGACATGTACTCATATTCGTATTTGGCTTGTACCATTGTTGTATTCACTGGTGGCTCCATACTGATTGACATGACACTTCCGTCCACAAAAACAGTCTACGTTAAGATGTTTAACATGTATACGTCCAACATAAAAAGTCTAAGTCTTTCATTAGAAGAATCCTTCAGAATGGCAAACACTCAAAACAAATGCTCTACCCAAATGCTCTTCACCGATGATTTTGCAAGAAAAGGCTGCTCATTCAAGGAGTTCACGCATCCAGATCCTCATGGGCTTCTTCACGGCAAAAGACAAGAAATACACTGCAGGAAGATAGACTTGATGGAATCACAAGAGTGACATGGAGTAATGTGCAGTATCAGTACGAAGCATTGTTTAGTCTGATGATGCAGTTACACACACATTCTCTGTGATGACACTCTGCAAGCATTGGTAATGCATTCATGTGGTGGTGACAGGGGGTGCCTTGCTCATTAAGTGCTTCAGTGACTCACCGTCCAAAGTACATGATTACACTTCATCCAGATCACCTGTATGTACTGTGTAAAGCACAAAAACAACCAGAATGTTTGTAATGCATTATTTTTGTCACACTCTTTAGGATTGGGTAAAATACTGTAAAAGATGACCCCTTTTCATTTTTTTTTTTTTTACATCTGGGCAATTCCAACATGTATACATTGTACATGCCATACATGTATGTAATGTAACTCCACCATGTCCATGACAGAGCTACCATACATGTAATCATGGAGGATGTGTTTTTATTCCTCCATTATGTAATTAACCATATCTAATCAATGATTCAGAGAAATGATCCAAAATTCCTAGTCTGTTAGCTTCTTGATCATTAGTAGATGATGGATAAGATTTGAAATATACAAAAAAATTCAGGTTTATTTAATTCTGAGCTCTTAAAATACAAAATAAACTGCTAAAACAGAAGAGAAAGTCGAGAAACAGGATGAGTTGGACACTTACATGTACATATATCTGTAATTAAAAAAACCATTTGATTTGATTTGAATTGACTTATTTCCATATAGCAACATTATAATAATGAGCATTTCACAAAACAAACATGATAAATGGCAAATAGTCACGAGTCTGATAGTTTTCACGTTTTATCGCACAACCAACTAGTGATTTTCACTAGTCACACAGGACAAGTTTTAAGTTCAACCAAAAAAGCAACATAACGGCCGCCTTTGCGCACTGACAACAATCATGACAATCCCCTCTCTGAAGGCTGCCTAATGAGGTCAGATTCTCACTCCTTTTTTTCCCCATTTTTTTTAACCGAATCTCTCTGCATGCATACATGTACATACTATACAAGTAACTCAATACTTTGTGAATAAACAAACTACAATTTGATACAAATAGGATTAGAAGACTTGAACCATGGAGCAATAGCTTCATGCTAGAACTTAGGATCATGAACTTTCATACAATACATTGTACATGTACATCAAATCTGTGGGGTCAATGTGTCTATTTGGAATAATGGACTGAAAAAGCGGCAACAGAACAATCATGACAAACATTGCTCTTTGCACTCTATGTTTTTAAATTCAATCTTTCTGGTTTACACGTGTATTATGTTCTTGTATGAAAATGCCAAAAAAATCAGATCCAAAGCACATCATCACTTACTGGTACCGGAATAGTGCAAACTGTATAATGCCAGTGGTATGAAATGTTAGTTCTCATAGTGTACATATTGGCAGCAGCATAATGTGTGGATTACATGTATGCCCCACATCCCCTATGAACATTACGGCATTCACCGGTACTCAATGTAAACCAACATACTAATTGTAAATAAAGGTGTACCGGTATGCATGCGTTTCATTTCTAAGTTGATAATTTTTATCAGTCATGTAGGAAGTCTGTGGGATGTACATGTACCTACACACAAGTCATACATGTGGTGTATGTAATCACGAGTTACATAATTTGTTTGTTTAAATATTCAGCAAAACTGGAAACCACAAACACTCATACAAAAACAAGCATGACAAATAAACACAAACACTCATACATGTAAATACAAACATGACAAATGAAGTATAGTACCAAGGACTAAGTTTTTGTATTATTTAAAGTCAGACCATAGGATTGGAGCAGATATCCAATGCATTGGATGGAGAATGCAAAGGCTAAATTGAGTTTGGGATCATTATATGTACATCAGAAGATAAAACAGGACGCTCATTTGTTTATCAAGGGATTACTTGAAGTGCATTCAGATATATTGACAGATCAAGTTTTTTTATCAGTACTTTTATCAGTTTCAGCTGTGTTGCCAGTAATCAGTGGTAATTTTATCGGAAAATGTTGAAATACATCTTAGCTTTGTAAAAAAAAAACAATCTACACGACCAACCCAGAAAATGGAGATAAAATGGATGCTTAACCAAACAGGGTTTTTTTTTTTTAAATTGGCCTTAGTGGAACGGGGTACTAACTTGTGCTTGCTTCTTCTACTAACGTAAGGCCTACAGACATCATACAGCGATCAGACATCATACAGCGGTCATTCAGTAATGTGGTGGCTGTTTTTTTGCAATGCATTGTCTATTCACGTGGTGCAGGGGACTCAACCGTGACGACTCCTAGAACTATAATAGACGTCCATCAAAACACAGACATTTCCCACAGAACCGATGCACAGTTTGCCCTTTAACTCCATACTATACCTCTTGACATACTCACGCAAGTTGCACCTAACAAACATTGGTGGATTCTGTCGTTTTTTTTAGGCCAAAGTGATGAAAAATATGCCCTTTCCGCACTGAGCCAACCTGACACTTGAAACGTGCATGCAGAATGATCGATCGATGATTTTCAGTTCGCTCGGCGCGTGCTGCGGGGGTACGGTACATGCGAAATGATAGTTTGCACTTGCATACAAGTGCAAGTACCGTAACCCCTGCGGCGCGCACCATGCGAACCGAAAACCATCGATCGATAAAGACGATCATATCTGCGTGCAAGTTTCAAGTGTCAGGTTGGCTCAGTGCGGAAAGGGCATATTTTTCATCATTTTGGCCTAAAAAAAATAACAGAATCCACCAATTCTGAATATTCAAGATCAAATCCAATATTCATGATGTATGACGATGTCCTTTTGGTTGTTCTCGAACAGTGCCTTCCGACGAACATACAGTAACAGTATATCATCATGACGAACAAACATGACCAAGTCGTGCCTAGGCTAAAGTAAAAGGTAGTGTATATTTTGCCGGAGGTAACGCCGGCAAACTAACGTTTACTAAAGGTTTGCCGGCGGCAATCCATATCAATAGAGGGCGCTGTACTCTTTAAGATAGGGTTGAATTATAACATGTATTAAATTCCCATCAAAGTTGTGTAGCAAAGTCGGTGCAGTGGTTAAGCAATGGCTCTAGAGAGTGGGATGTCCCGAGTTCGAATCCTGATCCCCGCCTCAATTTTAAGGGTTTTTTTCCCATCCCCAAATAAATAAGAATATTCTTCTTTTATTATTTTAATATGTCTCAAACATTTTATTGCAGAGTATTACTTTTTCTTTTTCAGATTTGTGGCTCTGGAGGATTTTTTTTTAAAGGGAAATAAAGTCCGAAATTATAAAATGGTCTGATTACCATCTTGTTGTAAATACAAAAATACAACGATAATATTGGCATGGAGCCAGACTAAAATCTGTCACCGGAAAATGTTTAAGTACAAAAAAACAGTAACTGCGCATGTTCAGTGCATATCCGGCAAACTAACGTTTACTGAAGGTTTGCCGTCTCCGGCAAAATATCCACTGCCAAAGTAAAACTTCAGGCTTTCAGCATGTTCAACAACAACAGTTTCACAAGATAAGATTAGGCCTAGGCCTAGGGGCCTACCTGATTTAGAGACTTTCATTTCATTGATCACTATTGTGTTACTAAAAATTCTATTATACAGAGACTTGTACTCACCGAATAAAATACCTGTTTTTCTTTAAGTTTAGGGTTACCATTAATTTTGGCGAGAATCTGACACTCTCTTTTTACATCGATTGACTTCCGCCCACGACGACGACGATTGAGCGATTTGTGTCGTAAAGGTGTGTTTATCCGATGCCGGTGCCGCAACCAGTCTACCTGCAATTTTACTTAAATTGGTAAGGGTCTGCAGCCAGACAGTTTTAGCAGCAAGTTTACAGGGCGCCCTCTAGTACCAAACTAAACTTAGCCGCGTTATGAGCCCAAAACCTAGCCGCGTTCTTAGCCGCGTTCTTAGCCGCGTTCTCAACCGCGGTATCAAAATCTCAAACACATACAGTAAAAGGTGGTTGCTTCTCTGTTTGTAATGAAAGGATTACTTGGACTTTCCCAACGAAATGTTAAAGTTATACAATAAATGTACTATTTTTTATGCTTTCATCTAACCGAACCTTCTATTGGGCACGTCATAATATTGGAGGGGGCCAATTCGGTCCACTAATTAGCTGTTAATTAAGGCCCTATCGAGGAGTCTCCATTTTCCACTCTAAAAGTGCACAAAAGGGAATGCTGCTGACCTATAACACCCCTTTAAAACAAAATGTACCCCACATAGTTTTATAAATTTGATTTTTTATTGCATAATCCATTTGATCCATCTACTGGGAAGATCAAATTTTGGAGGGGGCCAATTCGGTCCACTAATTAGCTGTCAATTAAGGCCCTATCGAGGAGTCTCCATTTTCCACTCTAAAAGTGCACAAAAGGGAATGCTGCTGACCTATAACACCCCTTTAAAACAAAATGTACCCCACATAGTTTTATAAATTTAAATTTTTATTGCATAATCCATTTCATCCATCTATTGGGAAGATCAAATTTTGGAGGGGGCCAATTCGGTCCACTAATTAGCTGTCAATTAAGGCCCTATCGAGGAGTCTCCATTTTCCACTCTAAAAGTGCACAAAAGGGAATGCTGCTGACCTATAACACCCCTTTAAAACAAAATGTACCCGACATAGTTTAATAAATTTGAATTTTTATTGCATAATCCATTTGATCCATCTATTGGGAAGATCAAATTTTGGAGGGGGCCAATTCGGTCCACTAATTAGCTGTCAATTAAGGCCCTAATGAGGAGTCTCCATTTTCCACTCTAAAAGTGCACAAAAGGGAATGCTGCTGACCTATAACACCCCTTTAAAACAAAATGTACCCCACATAGTTTTATAAATTTGAATTTTTATTGCATAATCCATTTCATCCATCTAATGGGAAGATCAAATTTTGGAGGGGGCCAATTCGGTCCACTAATTAGCTGTCAATTAAGGCCCTATCGAGGAGTCTCCATTTTCCACTCTAAAAGTGCACAAAACTGAATGCTGCTGACATATAACACCCCTTTAAAACGAAATGTACCCCACATAGTTTTATAAATTTGAATTTTTATTGCATAATCCATTTCATCCATCTAATGGGAAGATCAAATTTTGGAGGGGGCGAATTCGGTCCACTAATTAGCTGCTAATTAAGGCCCTATCGAGGAGTCTCCATTTTCAACTCTAAAAGTGCACAAAACTGAATGCTGCTGACCTATAACACCCCTTTAAAACAAAATGTACCCCACATAGTTTTATAAATTTGATTTTTTATTGCATAATCCATTTGATCCATCTACTGGGAAGATCAAATTTTGGAGGGGGCCAATTCGGTCCACTAATTAGCTGTCAATTAAGGCCCTATCGAGGAGTCTCCATTTTCCACTCTAAAAGTGCACAAAAGGGAATGCTGCTGACCTATAACACCCCTTTAAAACAAAATGTACCCCACATAGTTTTATAAATTTGAATTTTTATTGCATAATCCATTTCATCCATCTAATGGGAAGATCAAATTTTGGAGGGGACCAATTCGGTCCACTAATTAGCTGTCAATTAAGGCCCTATCGAGGAGTCTCCATTTTCCACTCTAAAAGTGCACAAAACTGAATGCTGCAGACCTATAACACCCCTTTAAAACAAAATGTACCCTACAAAATTTTATAAATTTGAATTTTTATTGCATAATCCATTTGATCCATCTATTGGGAAAATCAAATTTTGGAGGGGGCCAATTCGGTCCACTAATTAGCTGTCAATTAAGGCCCTATCGAGGAGTCTCCATTTTCCACTCTAAAAGTGCACAAAACTGAATGCTGCAGACCTATAACACCCCTTTAAAACAAAATGTACCCCACATAGTTTTATAAATTTGAATTTTTATTGCATAATCCATTTGATCCATCTATTGGGAAGATCAAATTTTGGAGGGGGCCAATTCGGTCCACTAATTAGCTGTCAATTAAGGCCCTATCGAGGAGTCTCCATTTTCCACTCTAAAAGTGCACAAAAGGGAATGCTGCTGACCTATAACACCCCTTTAAAACAAAATGTACCCCACATAGTTTTATAAATTTGAATTTTTATTGCATAATCCATTTGATCCATCTATTGGGAAGATCAAATTTTGGAGGGGGCCAATTCGGTCCACTAATTAGCTGTCAATTAAGGCCCTAATGAGGAGTCTCCATTTTCCACTCTAAAAGTGCACAAAAGGGAATGCTGCTGACCTATAACACCCCTTTAAAACAAAATGTACCCCACATAGTTTTATAAATTTGAATTTTTATTGCATAATCCATTTCATCCATCTAATGGGAAGATCAAATTTTGGAGGGGGCCAATTCGGTCCACTAATTAGCTGTCAATTAAGGCCCTAATGAGGAGTCTCCATTTTCCACTCTAAAAGTGCACAAAACTGAATGCTGATGACCTATAACACCACTTTAAAACAAAATGTACCCCACATAGTTTTATAAATTTGAATTTTTATTGCATAATCCATTTCATCCATCTATTGGGAAGATCAAATTTTGGAGGGTGCCAATTCGGTCCACTAATTAGCTGTCGATTAAGGCCCTATCGAGGAGTCTCCATTTTCCACTCTAAAAGTGCACAAAACTGAATGCTTTGACCTATAACACCCCTTTAAAACAAAATGTACCCCACATAGTTTTATAAATTTGAATTTTTATTGCATAATCAATTTCATCCATCTAATTGGAAGATCAAATTTTGGAGGGGGCCAATTCGGTCCACTAATTAGCTGTCAATTAAGGCCCTATCGAGGAGTCTCCATTTTCCACTCTAAAAGTGCACAAAACTGAATGCTGCTGACCTATAACACCCCTTTAAAACAAAATGTACCCCACATAGTTTTATAAATTTGATTTTTTATTGCATAATCCATTTGATCCATCTACTGGGAAGATCAAATTTTGGAGGGGGCCAATTCGGTCCACTAATTAGCTGTCAATTAAGGCCCTATCGAGGAGTCTCCATTTTCCACTCTAAAAGTGCACAAAACTGAATGCTGCTGACCTATAACACCCCTTTAAAACAAAATGTACCCCACATAGTTTTATAAATTTGAATTTTTATTGCATAATCCATTTCATCCATCTAATTGGAAGATCAAATTTTGGAGGGGGCCAATTCGGTCCACTAATTAGCTGTCAATTAAGGCCCTATCGAGGAGTCTCCATTTTCCACTCTAAAAGTGCACAAAACTGAATGCTGCTGACCTATAACACCCCTTTAAAACAAAATGTACCCCACATAGTTTTATAAATTTGAATTTTTATTGCATAATCCATTTCATCCATCTAATGGGAAGATCAAATTTTGGAGGGGGCCAATTCGGTCCACTAATTAGCTGTCAATTAAGGCCCTAATGAGGAGTCTCCATTTTCCACTCTAAAAGTGCACAAAACTGAATGCTGATGACCTATAACACCACTTTAAAACAAAATGTACCCCACATAGTTTTATAAATTTGAATTTTTATTGCATAATCCATTTCATCCATCTATTGGGAAGATCAAATTTTGGAGGGGGCCAATTCGGTCCACTAATTAGCTGTCGATTAAGGCCCTATCGAGGAGTCTCCATTTTCCACTCTAAAAGTGCACAAAACTGAATGCTTTGACCTATAACACCCCTTTAAAACAAAATGTACCCCACATAGTTTTATAAATTTGAATTTTTATTGCATAATCAATTTCATCCATCTAATTGGAAGATCAAATTTTGGAGGGGGCCAATTCGGTCCACTAATTAGCTGTCAATTAAGGCCCTATCGAGGAGTCTCCATTTTCCACTCTAAAAGTGCACAAAACTGAATGCTGCTGACCTATAACACCCCTTTAAAACAAAATGTACCCCACATAGTTTTATAAATTTGATTTTTTATTGCATAATCCATTTGATCCATCTACTGGGAAGATCAAATTTTGGAGGGGGCCAATTCGGTCCACTAATTAGCTGTCAATTAAGGCCCTATCGAGGAGTCTCCATTTTCCACTCTAAAAGTGCACAAAACTGAATGCTGCTGACCTATAACACCCCTTTAAAACAAAATGTACCCCACATAGTTTTATAAATTTGAATTTTTATTGCATAATCCATTTCATCCATCTATTGGGAAGATCAAATTTTGGAGGGGGCCAATTCGGTCCACTAATTAGCTGTCAATTAAGGCCCTATCGAGGAGTCTCCATTTTCCACTCTAAAAGTGCACAAAACTGAATGCTGCTGACCTATAACACCCCTTTAAAACAAAATGTACCCCACATAGTTTTATAAATTTGAATTTTTATTGCATAATCCATTTCATCCATCTAATGGGAAGATCAAATTTTGGAGGGGGCCAATTCGGTACACTAATTAGCTGTCAATTAAGGCCCTAATGAGGAGTCTCCATTTTCCACTCTAAAAGTGCACAAAACTGAATGCTGATGACCTATAACACCACTTTAAAACAAAATGTACCCCACATAGTTTTATAAATTTGAATTTTTATTGCATAATCCATTTCATCCATCTATTGGGAAGATCAAATTTTGGAGGGGGCCAATTCGGTCCACTAATTAGCTGTCGATTAAGGCCCTATCGAGGAGTCTCCATTTTCCACTCTAAAAGTGCACAAAAGGGAATGCTGCTGACCTATAACACCCCTTTAAAACAAAATGTACCCCACATAGTTTTATAAATTTGAATTTTTATTGCATAATCCATTTGATCCATCTAATGGGAAGATTAAATTTTGGAGGGGGCC